CCCCAGGCCCCTCACCATTTCACAATAATTGATCACTTAGGGGCTCTTCCTTCAGAGATGTTTTTGCAGAGTAAACAAGTGAAGGTTGTAGTGGATGTGAAACACGGGATCATCACATTTCTCAAAGCTCCCTGGGCACTTACTATAAAAGTTGCCTGCAACCATGAACTAAGTCTTTTGGAGGGGAAGAAAGAACTCCTAGCAACCAGGTTAAATCAACATCTTGGGGGTTGTTGAGCACAATGGACAGGCTCTCAGCTGACAGGTGCCAGAAATTGACTAGCTTATAGAAACCTAGGTGTACTAGATATTACCCTTGATCCATTACAAACTTTTTTTTTTTTTTAAAGACTCAGGATCATGTCTTTGCCCACTTCTGGGAGGGAAATGAGAAGAGGATGAGGACATGATTTGGGGGCATATAATCATTTCTGAGAGTGGGACACAGCCAAATAGTTCGTGGGCTAAAGCAGAAAAGAATGATAAGAAGAGAAGCAAAAGGAGGTGCTGGCAGGTTTTGCTAAATTCCACCTTGTGTCCTTGGTCCCACTATGCTGTTGTGGCGGATAAGTTTTACTCACTCTGAAATGAAGGCTTGATAGCCTTGGCAAGGAGAAAACTCAGTTCTGCATCTTGCTGCTTGGGCAGTTACTTTGGTTGTGGTAGGGAGATGAGACCCATGTGTCTGAGAGAGCCCTAGCATAGCTTCCCTTCTCTACCCAAGTACTCAGATTTCTCTACCCACACTAGGACTTTACATGGATGATAAAGAGTGTGACAGGAACATGACTTTTAACACATCAGACTGAAAAATGTGCGCGAAGGTGAGTATTGTTTCTTTACCCTTAATCTCTCTAGATGCAGGGTTGTAGCTGGGAGGGACTGAAAAGCCAGGACAGAGTTCTCATGAGTGCCCAAATTAGACTTTCCACATTGGCATAAAACTGGGTCATTAATGCCTTTAAGGTTCTACAAAGTTTTTTTTTTTTTTTTTAAATTAAAAGGACACTTCTCTATAATAAAGATGACAACTGGGGTTGAATGCTTGATCTTTCCTCCCTTCTTTTTACAATCCTGAGTGGTCAGGATTGGCAATGGTTTTTGTTGAATAACTGGCAGCTCCCCCTCTACTCTTCACCCTTTACTCAATAAACATTTACCAATTGCCTGGTATGTGCCAGGCACTAGGAGCGATAACTACAAGGGGATTATATGCATAGCCACCTACAATAATACAGGCACTATTGTATTACAGTTTAGTGATCATGAACTTTGGAACCAGTTAACAGTTTAACGTTCATGTGTATAATCTTCTATAATTTTCAAGATAACCCTATGAAAAAATATTATGATATTGTCACTTAAAAATTTTTTTAATAAGATTTTATTTATTTATTTGACAGAGAGAGATCACAAGTAGGCAGAGAGGCAGGCAGAGAGAGAGGGGAAGCAGGCTCCCTGCTGAGCAGAGAGCCCAATATGGTGCTCGATCCCAGGACCCTGAGATCCTGACCTGAGTGGAAGTCAGAGGCTTAACTTCACTTATAAACTGGTTCTCCCATTATATCCTATATGTATCCCCCTTGCTTCTGTGCAATCCCAAATTACTCCCAATCAATTTTCCTTCTCCTGTCTCCTCACCTTGTTTTAAGCCACCCAGGTGCCCCAATATTGTCATTTTTTAAACCAAGACCCACAAAAGTTAAAGAGCTTCCCAAGTTCACATATGTAGTAAATGGTTGAGCCAGACAGAGTCCTCTTGATTTCATATTTAATACTCTAGGCTCTACATTATAGCCTTTTCAAGTTCTCTGAATCAGTTCAAACAAGAATCACTTAGTGAACTCATCTATCATTGATTATGATGAGTTTAATATCCTTAGTTCTTTATCAAATTTTAGCAAACCTGTATAACTCTTTGATGAACTCATTCTTCTTATTCCAATTAAACCTTTTCTCTTCACCATCACCACTTTCCTCGTCTCCTTATTCTCCCCATGGAGAATCTGAACAGTTTTCTCTAAGAAAGACGTTGCGTGGTAGTTCATTTTGTGGTTCAATTATCATGGTATAAAAAAGCAAAAAGCGGCTGTCAGATTATTTTTATTATAGCTGGCTTTTGTAAAATTTAAAGACTTCAAAGTAGTCCAAAGAAATGAAGAATTGAATTTTCTCTACCTGTACATAGGGTTTTACCTCTTGTTTCAGTTTGCCAAGTTCATATTACTCAGATATATAATATACGCCAAGCCCACTTCCACAGGAAGAACATGAAATAATTTGCAATCAAATGCAGAGAAAACTTCAGAGTCTTCATAGGGCCTGGGGTTGATGGAGCCACAGAGTCACATGTTGGCAAGACTTGATTTAGGCAATGGATGTATGGAGTTTAATCTCAAATGGCCAAAGACAGTAGATGGGGCAAGGTGGATGTGTGAGGCAGGGTGGGGCGGGGAGATAGACAGTAGTGAAGACTGGGAACTAGAGAGGGATGTCTGCTTGAAGTTTACCCCCAACAAATTAGCATCGTAGATGAATATTGGCTTGGTGCTACTGGTGACCAATTTTTAAACGAGATACTAGAAATTATAATTAAAAAATAAAATCCCCCAATTTTAAAAATTTTATGTGAGTCAAACAAAATATGAGTTTCCAGTTTTGGTTCAAAGGTCACACACTTGAGATCTTTAAACAGGTATTAACTGACTATACACTTGTCACTTGCCAGACATTTGACAACGGATGGAGATTTAATAATGAACAAAAGAGACATTCCTGTTTTGCTATTGTCACATCTCTAAGCTCTGTCCCCAGGGTGTCTGAGAACTCAATTTTTCACTTATAAACTGGCTCTACCATTACATCCTGTATGTATCCCCCTTGCTTCTGTGCAATCCCAAATTACACCCAATCAATTTTCCTTCCCCTGTCTCCTCACTTTGTTTTAATTCGTTGTGAGTTTTTAAATTTATGCATAAATTAGTAGAAAATTATTCACTCTTACAGTATGTAAAACCTTCCTTGTTAAATTTGTTTAATCATTAGTTCTAATGAAGCAAACTGTGGACAAAGACACAAAGAATATTTTATATACACCATTGCCCCATCCTTACCATCTCAATATGCTCAGTCCAAAGGCATGAAGAGTACGGTTAATAACCTGCATACCAATAGAGAGATAAGATACTGTTGCAAGGAGGGAGGCCAGAAGCTCTAAGAAGAAGTCTTTCTTAATTCAATAAGAGTAGTGAAGGGGAAAATACAGTTTGAAAGACCTGAATATCTCAAAACTTATTGAAGTCAGTGACACTCTATCTCCAAGACAATTCTATGAAGTATTTCTGTTTAACAGAAGAGGGATAATTGGAAAAGTCAGAGAAAGAATTGAGGTAGACATTTTTAATGATACAGTTGGAGATGACCTTTTGCTTCACTGTCTGATTTCTCCTTTAACTTCTGTTCCAATAGAGTGAATTTGTTATCTAATTTTGTATTCTTTCTTTGTACCTTTTTTTAATAATTCTTATTTAAAGTATTTAAATTACTTTACCTTCTAGCTCATTTATTTGAGATCTGTTGCCTTACTATCATTGACAGGAGCTACTCCAAGAAAGTGGGTGTCCCACAAAATTTTGTCCCACAAAACTGAGTGTCCCATTGCCTCTGATACATAAGAATAAAATGAATCTGGTTGCCTTATATTTGACTCAAACTAAAAAGGGTGTGAAACATACAATCATATGTATAATTTATAAGAAAATGATTTTTAAGTGATTTTATGATTCTCAGACTAGTCATCCAGAGTAGTTTCATCCACATGAAAAATTAAATAAGTCAAGAGCGTAGGAGGAGGGGTGACCTGGGTGGCTCAGTCAGTTAAGCGTCTGCCTTCGGCTCAGATCATGATCTCAGGGTCCTGGGATGGAGCCCTGCACTGGTCTCTGCACAGCAGGGAGTCTTCTTCTCCCTTTCTCTCTGCCCCTCGCCCCTACTTGTTCTATCTCTAAAATAAATAAATAAATAAAATCATTTTTAAAACTGAGAGTAGAGAATTAGAGAATTTGTGAAGATTCGTTTGGAATGAACAATAGTCTGAGTCTGAAACCATCCCCTTCAAATAGGAAAGGGTATTTTGAAGTACTTGGTGGGAGACTTCAAAAGAGCTACTTGGGGATTTCAGTAAGTGCATATTTTAGTTGGGAGAGAGCAGAGTGGACCAGGTCAGAAATTCTGGGGGATGAGAAAAGAGCCAATAGCTACTACAGTGCGGATTCAAAAACATCTTGGCTGCTGCAATGGTTTTGAGACAAATGATGAAAAGGACCTTCCTCTGTTTTGGAGGAGGGCCACAGAAAAAGGGAGAGCTAGTGCAGGGTTGTCTCAAGTCTAATCCAATAGGGCCATCAATGGGACAAAGGGATCAAATAGTATGATGCTGGGAGAGAATGCTGGATCTCCAGAGGCTGCAAAAGTTGATGGAAGCTTCATAGGAGGAGATGCACCAGCCCATGCTGGGAACCTGCCAACCTGTTGTCCCAGTAAGGAAGCTTCTAAGAACCTGAACTTTTCCCATGAGAGAAGAGTCAGCTCTTTAAACACCTCCCAGGCTCAGATTGAGAGAGTAAGAACTGTTTTGTAACTCCTTCCCTTCCCCTATGCACTGCCCAAACAGGAGGACCCTATGGTCAGGGGCAGGGAAAGGGGCAGGGGGAGAGAGAAACTGCCCAAATCCTTTCCCTCAAGCACAAGGGGGTCACCAGGAAGGAGTCCTACCCGGGGAGAGGATAAGACTGAATGTTAATCAGATTATGAATTTTTAGTATTCATTCAAATCAGTGAACTTAGATGCTGTTTATGTTTATAACTGAAATTGGTTGTGATACATTTATTACTGTGGAAGTCATGTACCTACAGGAGTTTTCATCCAGTTGCCGGGAGAAATAAGATAGAAAAGGAAAATAAGAAGCAAAAATGTAGAATTTAGGTCACATCTAAGGACCATGTTTAAATCCATTATGTGTATTAATTACCCACTTATTCTTAAATCCCACTGCAAAGGGTGTGGGATCTCCTGCAGTGATAGGGCTGAAGAGGAGATGGAAACAGTTAATGACAGCACAGGTGGGGATTTCATCTTAGTGGGCTTCTCTGAGCGGCCTGAGTTAGAGCTGATTCTCTCCCTCTTTGTCCTGACATTCTACACAATAACCCTTGTGGGCAACATGGCCATCATCTTGCTCTCGATCCTGGACACTGGACTCCACACACCCATGTACTTCTTCCTTAGAAACCTCTCTGTTCTTGACCTCTGCTTCACTACCAGCATTGTCCCTCAGATGCTGGTGAACATGTGGGGTGGCAACAAGAAGATTAGCTATGCTGGCTGCATGGTCCAGTACTGGGTGGCCTTGGCACTTGGCTCCACTGAGTGTGTTCTCCTTGCAGTGATGGCAATAGACCGCTATGTTGCAGTTTGCTGGCCTCTGCGCTATGTCTCTATCATGCACCCCAGGCTGTGCCACCTCCTGGCAGCAGCTTCCTGGTGTTCTGGTTTTGCCAACTCCTTTCTACAGTCCTCAATGGCCATGGTGCTGCCTCGATGTGGAAACCGGAGTGTGGACCATTTCTTTTGTGAACTGTTGATCATTGTTAAACTCTCCTGTGTGGATACTGGCCCGACAGAATCTAAAATGTTTATAGCCTGGCTAATCATCCTAGGCATGCCTGTCTCCATCATCCTGACCACTTAAGTGTGCATCGCCAGAGCAGTAGTAAAAATGCGCTCAGCAGAAGGAAGGAAAAAGGCCTTTGGGACCTGTGCCTCCCACCTAATGGTAGTCTCACTCTTCTATGGGACCATTATGTTTTTGTATCTGCAGCCCAAGGACAACTACTCCCAGGACCAGAGCAAAGCACTGGTGGTGCTATACATGATCCTTGCTCCCACACTCAACCCTCTGATCTACACACTGAGGAATAAGGATGTGAAGAAAGCGGTCAGGAGGTTGATAGGGAAGGAACAGGTATAGGGAGATCAAGAGTGGAAAGAACAGGTGAGGCAACCACTGGAGACATATGTGGGGTATACCTGTTTTAACTGCACTTGCTTCATCTTCCTTTGAGGGGGTTGGAAAATCTGCTGTGTTCTAACCACTAGCTATTCCTGGGATCCTTATAGGGTGGGCACTCACCAGAAGGAAACTTGACCATTCCTTAAAGTAACCTCTGGCCAAGGCAATCCTCACTGGCAAGTAATTCTGTGACCCACTGTTGATGATTTCCTATTTTCAATGCATAGTCACTAACTTATTCAAATGTCATCAAATATACATTTAGATATTATAATAATAACAGTGATAATTCTACTACATTTATTAAGCATGGCCATAGAAGCTTCTTAATTTTCTCCATCACCACCTTCACTGCACCATTATCAAAACAATCAGGCATATGATTTAGTCAATAACATACAGTGCGATACTTGTCCATCATGAATAAATATATGAGAACAAGAACAAATGAATAAAAGATGAGTAGACAGAGTTTACACAGTGTACCAAGGATTCCTGTTTCTCAGAACTGGAAGGAATACCATGACTATTCAAGGCCAGATTATAGAACATGTCAAATTCCATCCAGTTTAGGACAGTTTTAAAGATGTTTGAATAATAGGAATAAACACATTTGCTTGCTGGATATATAGACAGTCAATAAATTTCAAAATTACAAAAATGATAACTGAACAAGGGGACTATTATTATTTATTAAATGGAGACAAGTTAACTGATTTCAATGAGATTCTAAAGGGAATCTCTGCTTGCCTTCATAGAAAGAGAAAAGAGGAAAATCCAAGTGACCACAAAGGGAAGTGACCACAAAGGGAGTCAGGGGACTTGATCTGCTTTGCTACATCTACATGGTTTTCACATGATCATGATCCCATGGTTTCTAATCCACATCATCATTAAAAGGTTGCTCAGTCATTCATTCTGTGGCCCAATATGGGACCCAAGTGCATCCTATTTTCTGACATTTGGCTCAGCCTATAATGACATATCCTTGTAAGAGGAAGTCTCCATTAATTAAAGCAGGACTTGAGAAAAACAACCTCTGACTCCCAGAAGAGCGGTCTCTTCTTACATGGTAGCTCTTGATGACATGCAATTATGCCCTGCTAGGACAGACTGAAAGCATTACTTATGAACTTCTTAAATTGCTCATCTATGTGCTTAGGAAGGAGCCTAACACTCTAAATAATCAATAAATATGGGTTGAATGAATGAATGTACATGGCAAGGTGTCCATAAAAGATGGCAGCACAGTTCAGAATATCTCTGAGACATCTTTGTGGAGTTATATGCAACATTTCATTCTATAGGATGGACACTTTGTATTGGCAAGTGACTGAAGGTGCAGACTGAAAAAATAAAATTATCATACATATAATGGGCTACAGCCATGTCTATCGAACTCTACTGTAATAACCACACTAAAACACAATAGTCAGGCATTAGTCAAAGTATAAATCATTGCTTTAAAGGAGAAAAAGAAATAACTGCCATGTTTTCATCAGCTTTTTGATTAAAGCAGTGGTTCTCAACATGAGGCAGTTTTGCCCCACACCCTCACTGCGGGAGACACTTGGCAATGTCTGGAGACAGTTTTGGTGATTATAGCCTAGGAGAGAGGGATTACTGGCATCTAGTAAGTAGAGGCCAGGGATTTTTCTAAATATTATACAATGCACAGTATAGTCTCCTTCAACAAAGGATTATCCAGGCCAAAATGTCAACAATGCTAGGGCTGGAAGCCCTGAATTAGAGAAATAAAATATTATGGATGTTCTGATCAAAGGTATAACATTTATGAAGGCAACAATAATCATGACAGTGAAATAAATTGATATTATCTGGATTTTTATGAAGTTCTTGATTACCCTGTGTCAGAAAGGATCTAACTATGAAAATAGAAACAACTTATTATTATTTATAAGGGAGGCTATTTAATGCAGAGCATTGGTGCCCCAAGTGATAAATGGGTTGCAAATCCAAACAGGAGATACTGAAGAAACCCTGAGATTTGTAACAGTATGAAGCTGCTAACATCTCTATACTTGAGATAAAAGAAGTTGGTGTTAGTAGAACCCAAGGAGTAGGGTTATCTGGAAGAAATGGCAGCCAGAATGGCAGACTGGTCTTGCAGGAACTCGAGCAGTTGTCCACTGCTGCTCCCTGAGGTGACACCTGAAACAATATGGGAGACAGTACTAGCTCGCCTTATCCCTTCATTCTGTCCTCTAATATTCTGTGGATATAGGAACCAAGAAGATGCAGCCTGCAGGGTCATTAGCGCCTCATTGTACTCCCTCAAAATGACTAGATGAGGGAAGGGCAATAAATGTATTTGGAGACTAACAAATATCATATTATATTTGTCTTTCTCTGACTGAGTTATTTCACTTAGCATAATACTCTCTAGTTCCAGCCACATCATTGCAAATGGCAGATTTCATTCTTTTTGATACCTGAGTAACATTCATATATATATATATATATATATATAATATATAATATATTATTTTATATTATATATTTATATATATATATATTACATATATCATATATATAATATATATATTTATCACATTTTCTTTGTCCATTCATTTGACTATGGATATCTGGACTCTTTCCATATTTTGGATATTATGGACATTGCTGCTATGAACATTGGGGTGCATGTGCCCCTCTTTTCACTACATCTGCATCTTTGGGGTAAATACCTAGTAGTTTAATTGCTGGGTCATAGGGTAGCTCTATTTTTAGCATCTTAAGGGATCTCCATACTGTTTTCCAGAGTGGATGTATCAGCTTGCTTTCCCATGAACAGTGTAAGAGGGTTCCCCTTTCTCCACATTCTCACCAACATTTGTTGTTCCCTGTCTTCTTAATTTTTTCCATTCTAACTGGTGTAGGATGGTATCTCATTGTGGTTTTGATCTGTATTTCCCTGATGGCTAGTGATGCTGAACATTTTTTCATGTGTCTGTTAGCCATTTGAAATGTCTTGTTTGGAGAAGTGTCTGTTCATGTCTTCTGCCCATTTCTTGACTGGAATATTTGTTTTTGGCTGTTGAGTTGGTAAACTGTTTATCGATTTTGGATACTAGCCCTTTGTCTGATGAAACGCCTGCAAATATTTTTTTTTAGTTTTGTCAACCGTTTCCTTTGTTGTGAAAAAGTTTTTGATCCTGATGAAGTCCCAATAGTTAATTTTTGCTTTTGTTTCCCTGGCCTTTGGAGACACGTCTTGCAAGAAGTTACTGCAGCTGAGGTCTGTGTTCTCCTCTAGGATTGTGATGGATTCCTGTGTCACATTTTGGTCTTTCATCCATTTTTAATTTATCTTTGTGTGTGGTCTAAGAACGTGATATAGTTTCGTTTTTCTGCATGTGGCTGTCCAATTTTCCCAACCCCATTTGTTGAAGAGACTGTCTTTTTCCCATTGGGTATTCTTTCCTGCTTTGTTGAAGATTAGTTGGCCATAGAGTTGAGGGTCCATTTCTGGGGTCTCTATTCTGTTCCATTGATTTATGATCTGTTTTTTGTGCCAGTATCATACTGTCTTGATTTTTATAGCTTTGTAATAGAGCTTGAAGTCAGGTATTGTGATGCCACCAGCTTTGATTTTCTTTTTCAACATTCCTTTGGCTATTTGGGGTCTTTTTTCGATTCCATACAAGTTTTAGGATTGTTTGTTCCAGCTCAGTGAAAAATGTTCATTGTATTTTGATAAGGATTGCATTGAATGTGTGGATTGATTGAGTAGCATAGACATTTTAACAATATTTGTTCTTCTCATCTGTGGGCATGAAATGTTTTTCCATTTCTTTGTGTCTTCCTCAATTTCTTTCATGAGTACTTTATAGTTTTCCGAGTACAGATCTTTTCCCTCTTTTGTTACATTTATTTCTAGGTATCTTATGGTTTTTGGTGTAATTGTAAATGGGATTGATTCTTTGATTTCTGTTTTTCTGCCTCATTGTTAGTGTGTAGAAATGCAGCTGACTTCTGAACATTGATTTTATATCCTGCCACTTTGCTGAATTCCTGTATAAGTTCTAGTGATTTTGGGGTGGGATCTTTTGGGTTTTCCACATAGAATGTCATGTCATCTGGGAAGAGCAAAAGTTTTATTTCTTCTTTGCTGATTTGGATGCCTCCTATTTCTTTTGTTGTCGATTGCTGAGTCTAGGACTTCTAGTACTGTTTTGAACAACAGTGGTGAAAGTGGACATCCCTGTTGTGTTTCTGACCTTAGGGGAAAAGCTCTCCATTTTCCCCTCTTTGAGAATGATATTGGCTGTTGGGTTTTTGTATATGGCTTTTTTTTTTTAAAAGATTTTATTTATTTATTTGACAGAGAGAGATAACAAGTAGGCAGAAAGGCAGGCAGAGAGAGAGAAAGAGAGAGGGAAGCAGGCTCCCTACTGAGCAGAGAGCCTGATGCAGGGCTCAATCCCAGGACCCTGAGATCATGACCTGAGCCGAGGCAGAGGCTTTAACTCACTGGGCCACCCAGGCACCTCTGTATATGGCTTTTGATATTGAATTTTGTTCCCTCTGTCCCTACACTGCAGAGAGATTTAATCAAGAAAAGATGCTGTATATTGTCACATGCTTTTACTACATCTATTGAGAGGATCATATTGTTCTTGTGCTTTCTTTTATTAATGTAGTGTGTCACACTGATTGATTTGCAGATGTTGAACCACCCTTCCAGTCCAGGAATAAATACTTGGTTGTGGTGAATTATCCTATTAATGTACTGTTGGATCCTATTAGCTAGTATCTTGCTGTGAATTTTTGCATTCATGTTCACCTAATTGTCCATTTTGGTGGGTACTTTGGTTTGGGGATCAAGGTGATGTTGGCCTCATAGAATGCATTTGGAAGTTTTCATTTCAATTTTTAAAATAGCTTCAGGAGAATAGGTACTAATTTTTCTTTAAATGTTTGGTAGAATTCTGCTG